CAGCAGCATTTACTCCAGCTGCTACCGGGCGAGCAGCCCGTTTGGAGGACTCCCTGGGAGGACTCTCCACTTCACCTCCCCCAGCGGATGGTGATAATGGTGCTGATGGTGATGACGCCTTCATGGACGACATCGACCTGGATAATCTTGGCGACGAGTAGGCTATACTCGTTGCCCATCTCAGTGTGTTTTGTTTTTCATTTTAGACTTGTGTGTGTTTGCTCCATGTGTGAGGAGCTTGAACTTGGTGTCGTTTGTTTTTGTTTTCGGTTTTCTTTTGTGGATTGTTTTTTTTTCTGTAGCCGTCTGGGCTAACACTTATCCCTAACGCACAGTGTGCTAGTGTGTTCTTGGTGTTCGATTCGTGCAGAACTGTCCATCTTCCCGTTTGTTTCTCGCTGACTGGTCCACTTCCAGTCCCCCAGCAGTTTCAATCCGGTAACATCGTTCCCCTTCTCTATCCCTCTGCTCCATTGAGGGCAATGTCGTGCTTAAGTGTGGGGGGGTGCTTTGTATCGGTTGGAATGTATATATGTGTGCTTGGAGCCTAGTCCACTGTCCAAATCTCGAGATTTGAGGGCTCCAAGTACTGTTGTTTGATCATATTGGCACTGTGTTTTGATTGATGAATTGAATGGTTTTCGGATTGATGCATGACAGCTTGATTGTGACTAGGACAACCTATGATGAGGACTAAGACGTGCAGTAGAGTTGTGTAGGGGTTCAGTTTTTCAACTGTTTGCTTACCAACTGTGACTTGGATTGATTACTTGTTCTTGACAGCCTCTTATGCATCTAGTTCAGGGTATCAGAATGTGAGATAGAGCATATAGGTAGCCATGTGAGATTTGAGCCTGCTCGTTTCTTTCTTGTGCGATAGATCCCTCTTCCATGATGTGTAGCATTCACGTTGTCACTAGCTAAGATGATGGGGGCATAGGATTAGCCCACGACCAAATTTGACTATCCTGATATGTCATATCCCCTAGCCAACCCTTTTGAGCCGTGTGTTATCCTTTCTTTTGGTCTGAAATGAAAGAAATCACCCTGTTTACATCTTTTAGAAGGTTCCACAGAGTGGTTTTTACATATTCTCTGCTGTTTCTACTAAATTTGATGTGAGTGTTGGAGGTAGTGCTTAAAAGTTGAGCTGGGCATGTGTTTGAAATATGTGCAGAAGTGGTGGCTCTCTTAAGAAATGAAAAGAAAATGAAAGAAAAACAAAGAAAAATTGAAAGCAAAGAGAGCCACTACCAAAAATCTGAGTAATGCCCGGTAAGTAGTGTTTCTTAGCAGTCTGGCTTGGAAATGCTGACATTTATACCTCCTTCGCTCTTGTGCTCTTGAGATATTGAGTAATGCAGAATAGCAGAAAGGAAATACCGGTTTGTTTGACTATGATTGTTTGGGTTTGGAAATGTGGAACCTTGTGCTATGAATACTTCCACCACCTAAAAGGCCTTTTCCCATGTCCAAGACCCTAGCCAGTCATTTGAACCTGTGTCTAAGACCTCCTGATTAGTTAGTGGTGACACCCCATATGTGAACTCTAGCGTTTAGAGGCTGCCATCATGGTGAAGAGATGTTAGGGATTGAGAGAAATAACATGCGCATTTTTCGCATCAAATTGTCCTGACCCCACTGGTCGAGAGTGAGTGATTCATTTTCAGAGTCTATATACTCTTGTACCCCGGTGAGGACCTAGATTGCTCGGTCTCTATTCTGATGTCTTGAGTTGGATGCATGAGTTGACTGTTTTGAGTAAGTGGTTGACTCAAGTCTAGGTTGGTTGGTGAACAGAAGGGAGACTCTTCCTTTACTCGATTTTGCTGCACTCGAATGTCCTTTGTGGTGGTTGTCCAGGTTGCTGTTGAAGTTGGTCATGTATTGATGTTTGAAAACCAGTACGATTCACGTGTTCTGTGCCTTTATGACTTGTCCCCAATGTTGGTTGATTGAAATATGTGAGCTTACCTTGTGTCTGACTTGGTTTGCTTGGGGACAAGCAAACGGTTAAGTGTGGGGGAGTTTGATAGACCGTTAATTACACATGTTTTTACCCATGTTCTTACACCGTTTGAGGTGTTGATTCTCGTGTTTTAGGCCGATTTCACGCTAGGTTGTGCTTGTTTTTCATATTTCAGGTCCTAGTACGTGAATGGAGGCTTGGGAGCGAGTTTGGGGTCGATTGTACGAGAATCGGACGCGTGGCGAGGTGCTAAGGAAGCTGCACGGGCATTCCTGGAAACCACACGGCCGTGCAACTCACAATTATGGCCGTGTGGTTTTTGTCGAGAGCATGCACGGGCAGGATGGAAATCCCGCACGGCCGTGCGACCCTAGCCGTGTGGGAAGCCTAAGATCGAACTAATTGGAACGCAGCGTTTTGACTCGCACGGGCAACTGGGTGAGCCACACGGCCGTGTGGCCTGCCCGTGCGAGTCGGGAAATCTTGGTTTTTCAGCCAATTTCGAGTCACAAGGGAGAGCTGGGTTTTGGATCCCAAACACCCAAGGGACGAACCCTAGAGAGAGAGAGCGACTTGGGAACGTTCTTGGAGCTATTTTGGAGGATTTCTTTGCCATTGAAGCTCGGGAATCAAGCTTGGAGATGGAGATTGAAGATCTAGATCAGATTTCTGCAGTCTCTCTCTTCTCTATGGAGTAACTTCCTTTCACTTAGGTTTTGAGGAACCCTAGTTCCATGAGTTAGGATCTTTCTTGTATGAAGTTTTGGATGCTATATTGTTTGATTATAATCGAATGATGCATGTTTATTGAGTCAATTGAAGTCTGATCAACTTTTCCTGATTTCTGCTGCAATCTGAGATAGATAGAATCTGATTAGGTTGCTAGAGTCTCATCATTCGGTAGTAGGAGATTGGCTATACAAGAGTTAGCCAGTTTACTGCTTTGTACTGGAATCTAATTCCAGTAGTGGAGTTCTGTTCTTACTGCTTCAACTTTCTATCCCGGTGAAGACTAGCCGTCTGCCGGGTAGTTAGACTGAGAGGGCTTGGTCAGCTTAAGAGATTCCAAGCTACTGTCGGATCTTCCGCAGTTTAATCAACAGTAAAACAACCAAAAGGAATTACAACTGGGACCTAATTGAGGAGCTAGGGGGAATCATACCTAAGTGAGTTCCCAAACTGTAATTAGTAGTTTTACTTAGTTTATTTAGTAGAGTAGTTTAGTTAATCAATCCTTAATCTAGTTTGCTAGATAATGAACTGAAGCTGAGTAATAGTAACTCTAGAGACCCGTGGATTCGATATTTATTACTTGTGCCACTATACTGCAGTCCCTTTCATTGGTTACACTTGGCCATTGTTAGGTGTTGGGTTTTAGAGCATCAGTCAACTATTGCGTTACGTCTCGTCGTCCAGTAGTGACCCCAACATACTCGATCGATTGGTGCGTTACATCTCGCCGTCCAACAGTTATCCGACCATATACCGCGTCCAGTAGTGGCCCAACCGCCCGGGGGTTCATCTAACCATTAACCAACTATTACAATCATACATTCATACATAGCACAACGTGTGCTTCCACCTTAAGTAGGCGGTGGGATGCCTCACACACATATCGCGCATGCTAAAAATTAACGAACATAACTTAAAGGAACGACGTAAATTAAAAGACCTACGACTGAGATTTTACCCCCTTTACACTCACCTTAGTTGATCGCTGAAGTCACCTTGATAAACTCTTCTCGAGAGTCTTCTCGTCCCATCTTCTTCTTTTCCCATTTCTAACTATAACAGAGCACGTACTTGTTAATTCCTTAATAGTCGATTCCTTAACAGTGGAAAATCATACCTAACAATTGTTTATTCACAAGTCCTTCAAACAACCACTAATTCTCATTCTAATTCTTGGACACATCCCATCCTCAAAATAATTAACTCCCCACGTGAAGAACTCATTCATGCATGCATTCAGTGATATTGGCTCGCAGGTTTTACCCTCGGTCACATCCAGGAGCATCATGGTTATTATTACAACGCAAAGCAATTAAAAAAACCTACACCTTCACCGTCCCCACTTTGACCCATCATCACATTGTAAATGGACAACAAAAATCCTTACCTTGTGGTCAATCTCCATAGCCAATCGTTAATCCCCGTGGCTCTTAGTACTGGCTACGAATTGATTTGCATCGCCGCCATCTGTTGGAGGCTCCGTCCCTGTTCCAGCCATAAAACTACCTCCCTCTATCATGCCTGATAAATAGTGGCAGGTCTTTGTTCCTTGAGGAAGATGCTGAACGTGGGTGGGGGAAAATTAATTCTAGCCGCTCACTTGCTGTAGGGTTTAAAGACTAACTACATGGGGTGAACGTGTAAGGAGACCTGGTGGGTTAGGTTTAGGGGTTAAATAGTTCAAGGGTATTTTGGTAATTTCAAAATTATAGGTGAATTTATCCAAAACTCAGTTAATGTCCGTAACTTCCTCATTTTATGTCGAATTTCGACATGGTTTGAACCGAGAGTTCACATTTTTAGTCCTCATCGAGATTACGGTGGGATTTGGAAATTTTTTATCAAGGGTGTAATGGTCATTTTGGCTTAAGGTAAGGACGTGGTGTAAAACATTTTCTCGTCTCCGTTTACTCTTCTTTATGTTATGAAGAACTAGAGTGCATCTCACATTGATTTGCTTATTAAGTTGCATTGGTTTGAGTAGGTTTTCTTGGGGACAAGCAAACGCCAAAGTGTGAGGGAGTTTGATAACACCTAAAATAGGTGTTATGTAGCCTCTATTATCAAGGCATTTGCATGCTAAATCACCGTTTCTAGGCCATATATCAGGTTATTTATGCCCATTTTTGTTCCTATTTGTAAAACATGCATTTTAGCATACGTAATCTTGATATGAAGGTTTTCATGGGGTAATCAACCTCACTTTGTCATATTTTATGCTTTTCCAAGTGTTTGTAATGAAATACTAGGTCTCTTTACTTTTGGGATTGATCGGGAATCGAATAGAGTTCATCCAGGCATGATTGGGAAGCATAGGAGCAAGAATGAAGGAAAAGGCGCAAGTCACGGCCACACGTCACCGGCCATGACCATGTTCGTGGGGCTGAAGATCGCGGTCGCGAACTGGAGAAGGCGACCAAGAAGAAGACATAAAGTTTCCCCAATTGAATCGCGGGCAAGGCATATTTTGACCATGGAAAATATGGCGGTCGGGATCTTATGGAGGAGACCGCGATCTTGGCACTTAAAGATGAAGTCAAAAAGCGTCGTTTCGGGCAACATGGGGACATTCCAGCATGTCACGGCCTGGTCACGGCCAATTGTCACGCCCTCGAGGCCATGATTGTCATCAGCTGCCTATAAATACTCCCTTTCTGCACTTGACTAAGGAGAGCCGCATTGGGGTGAGAAAATTAGGGTTTTAGAGTGCTTTAGAGAGAGAAATACCTTGGGAGAGCTTCATTGAAGATCCAATCAACCCAAGGAGCAAGGAGGAGGTTCAAGCAAGGAAAAGAAGCTTGATTCCGTCATCCCCTTCTTCTAGTTTGTATTTTCTTCTTCTCTCTAACGACTTGAATCTCTAATTGTTGTTAAGAGTAGATGAACCCTAGTAATAGGTTGTGAATGTTTGGGTTATGAATGAATAAATGTGTTTGTCAAGTAGATTTTTAATGTCACTTTTTCCTAAATGATGACGATTGGGTAAGTCGCCATAATCTTCCCTCTTAGCCTACTTTATGCTACCGCGCTGGGTAAGGAGTTCTTGGGTTAGATGGGTGTGCACCATCTAGCGAGTTTAGGTTAGATGAGTGAATGGGGGCCTATAGTGGTCGAGGCGACCGAACCCCTGTTGTACAAAGCCTTCCTAGATGAAACCCGAGATGAAACCTCGGTGTGGGCGGTGGATAGTGTCCATTGAAATGAGCCATAAGCTTAAAGCCCTAAATACAATAGCCTAGATCGAGGTGACTGAAACATGGGTTTAGGGGTGGGGTACTTGGAGGAGTGTTGATAATGACGAAGGCCCACAGAAAAGAGCTCACTCACCACATTCGATTAACCCTACTTTACAACCTTAGCTAGGAGGATTCAAATCTAGGCAACCATCTTATCTCTAGCGGCCTCCCAACCACTTGGTTGGTTGTTTATTTTTCCTTAGGAGTAGGTTAATTTAGTTAAAACCCCTCACCAAACTTCCATCCCGATTAGATTGTAATTGGGAACGAAGTAATAATACACTTAGGGATCCCTCGGAATATGACCGAGCCACTATACTACAACCCTAGATAGGTTATACTTGGCTTAGTTAGGATTGAATAGATAGTGTGGTTCGAGTTTATAAATTTAAAGCTCGATCGCGCACCTGAGGAGCGATCACCTTCTTTTGAAGAAGCTTGTAGAATTTGGATTTCCTTGGGCAATCTTTGCCTCCTACTTAGATTAAACTAGATAAAACTTCCTAATTCGTACTAGCACCTAGGGTTGGTTGTATTTTGGCCGTCCGAACTCTGATTTGAGGGTGAAGTATTGGCAACCCTTAGTCAATAGGTCAAGAGAGCTACTTTGGTAGCTTGAATCGAATTCCCTTGACCTATCGACCGAGAGAGAGGCCTTTGTTCACTTGTTGCACATTCCTATGGTTTACAACCGCCTTACCACATGTTTTCATTCGACTCGACAAGTCATAATTGCTAGCTAAGGGGAGCAACACCCAGGTGAAGCCTTCTCAATTAGTGTCAAATCCATTTACTTTTCAAAACGTTTTAGTTATAGATAGTTGTTTTCACCAAAAACCAATTGCTAAATAATGTTTCAAATAATCGAAATAGGGGTACATGGACCGGCTCGGGTTGATATTTAAACATACTTGCCCTATATTGCACCCAATTAAGGTTTATACTTGGGCCCTATTTAGGAGTTTTTATTATGATATTCGGGACGAGTCACCACTCCTTTGTGGAAACTCCTTAAACTTCTCTTGATAGCTCATTTGGTCCTCCAGAGTTCTTCATTGCTTGATCCAATTTTCCTTAGGTTGCTTTGTACCTTCCAAACCATCACAAGTTTACCAAGAAGGCATCAAATAGTATAAGAACATTACCTAGGTCTATTAAAAGTTCATTGATCAATTAGTTGTGTTTTATACAAGAAGTACCATTAAAATGGCTAAAGATGCTTCAATAGAAAGGCAAAATGTATCAAGAATGGGAGTCATAACACTATAAATAAAGTGTTATCAATAGCCCTATCATTAGGGTTTCTCGGGAGAGAAACTTGGCCTTCACGCGTATTCAAGCTTCTACAAAGCTTCCTCGACGTAGCCACCATGGTAGGATGAATCCAGATGCCTTTTTGAAGTGTTTAGACGACCTAAAAAATGAAAGCTAGGGCGTCATTTTGCACTTAGGGGCGCCATTTTGGTCGTCGTTTCTCTAGATGCACCTCAGCTTCGAGTCTGATTACCAATAGTCGAGCCTTGATGTTCTCCTAACTCTTACCAAAGAGGTCCCCCTAGGTTGATTTTCCCTGAAAACACAAGAAGCACTACCAAAAGTGCATCACAATGATAGAAGCAAGCCTATGTCTACTAAAATGCACTTTGAGTGATCACTTAACAAAATCAAGCTATTATGACGATAAATATATGAAAATCATGAAGTTTTGGTCATAATATGAGCGTATAAAGTAGTACTTTCCCGTGTCATCAATCATCGGATGACATACACCATGCAATCAACAATCACAGGCAAATAAATTATATGACAAAACATTAAGAACCTTAACTGAACACAAATTATACATATATTGAAGTATTTTATTTTGTACATACAAAACCCTAGTTAGGGTTAAAGGTATTAGCCCCAAATACCTTAAATCACTACCTGTCCTATTCCCGCTAGGATTTTGTGTATTTGTGATCTACACCATGATCTTATGTCACGTTCGTGATCTTTCTCACAGTCTCGGGCTAAAGGTTTGCGATCGTGAGACATACTTCTCTCCTTGTGTTGGCCTCCCAAAGTTCACGACCTTAGGACATAAGATCCCACACTTGAAGTCTTGCATATCATACAATCCTTGAGTTTTCGGGGACACCATTTGTGCACGATCTATGTCTGTCCCATTCTTCATACATTGGAGCACCTGATCTCCTTCATATGTTCTAATCACATATCTTCACATAATAGGGAGTATGTATATGCTAGAAGCATGTATAGGCTAGAGTATGGGTTTAAACACTATTTGAAGCACAAATGGACATAAAACACCTAAATTTTTTTAGGCAACAAATAACATCATTTTTTGGGTGTTATTGGATTAAGCAAGGAAGATCAAGAAGTCAAAGAGGGGGAGGAAAACTGCAAAGTAAAAATTCATAACTTGTTTTGTAACCCCAAAGATCCAGTCACGGATTGAAGAACTATATTTGGTGTAAAGAGTAGATCTACAAAAATATTTGAGAAGGAAGGTGATGACTTGATATATACACATGTTTTTGTCCACCATTCTTATGTCGTTTGAGCCTCATTTCTCGTTTCTTAGCCCGATTTCACGCTAGGTTGTTCTCGTTTGTGATATCTTAGGTCCTAGTATGTGATTGGAGGTTTGGGAACGAGTTCGGGGTCGATTGGACGAAGGTTGGATGTTTGGCGAGAAGCTGAGGAAGCCACACGGCCAGACTTAGCAGCCACATAGTCGTGTGTCGTGGCTGTGTGGAATTCCATTGCGAGGGCAAAACCACACTGGCCATGTACCGAGTTCCTTGAGACCGTGTGGAAATCACAGAGATGTCACACGGGCAGGCCGAGATTTCACACGGCCGTGCAGTTCTGGCCGTGTGAAGTGCATGAGACCACTTAAGTGAAACGCGGCATTTTCACCTCCACACGGGCAGTTGGGATTTCCACACGGTCGTGTGGTCGGGAAATTCTGGGTTTTAACCCAATTCCGGGTCTTTTGGAAGGGAATCGAGTTTTTGAGCAAAAAAACTGAGCTTTAGAGAGACAAAGTGCGAAGAACAAACCCTAGGAGCTATTTGGAGTGGATTTCTCACCATTAAAGCCCAGATTGCATCTCCAGGAAGGAAAATCATCATCCCATAACAGATTATCCTCATCTTTATGAGTATGACTACTCTTATTTATGTTTTCCTCTCTCTCTCTCTCTCTCTCTCTCTCTATATGGAGTATAATCTTCTCTCACTTGGGTATGAAGAACCCTATTTCCATGTTTTAGGAATCTTGATTGTAATGACTTGGGATTTATATACTGATTGATTTTAATCGATTGATGCATGATTCATTGAGTCAATTAAAGCCTGATCACCTTTTCTTGATTTCTGCTGCAACCTGAGATAGATAGAATCTGAGTAGGTTGTTAGAGCTTCATCAATCGGTAGTGGTAGATTGGTTATACGAGAGTTAATCGATTTACAGCTTTGTACTGGAATCCAATTCCAATGGTGGAGTTCTGTGTTTATTGCCTCGGCAGTCTATCCCGGTGAAGGCTAGTCGCCTGCCGGTTAGTCTTCCTGAGAGGGTTTGGTCAGCTTAAGAGATTTCAAGCTACTGTCGGATCTTCCGTAGTTTAATCAACAGTTAATCAACCCAGGGTAATTACAACCTTGACCTAACTAAGGAACTAGGGTGACTCATTCCCGAGTGACTCTTCCCTTGCGAAAGAACTTTGAACCATTTCCTGCTTTCTTATTGCTTTTACTTAAAATCACAATCACTCGACTTAGTTTGCTAGATAACAGATAATCACGGAGTAGGTAGTAGATCTAGAACCCGGGTTGACAAATAGAGCTTGTCACTTTACTGCATTCCCGGACTGCGATTACACTTGGTCACAGTTTGGTGTTGTGTTTTAGCGTGTCAGAAAGCAAGTTCCACTTGGGCGTAACAAGGTTCCAAGGAGGGAATGCAAAAGGAGAAACACATATCTGCATCTGAAAAGCAAAAACTTTAGTGGGTGGTCGTTTACCATAGGAGACCTAGGAGGTGTTAATGGCACTTACAGAGTTTTCTAGAGACGTGATAGATTGAAAGAGAGAGAACATAACCCAATTTATTAACTTCTAACAAGTTATTCTCCATTATTTTAATTGTATAGATGAAAAATATGATACTTTTTTTTAGTTCATTTATGAATCTCAAAGGCTGAAACCCAATGTTCGTTGACTCGCTAAAACCAACACAACCAAACTACTATCAAGTGCAATCGCAGTCTAGGAATGCAGTATAGGCTTCAGGTTTTAAATGTCAACCCGAGTCCTAGGCCTACCGGTTACTCCGTTCAAATTCATTATATAGCAATGGAATTTGAGTAAAGTGTGCAAAA